TAAACGAACAAAAGTATACAGGATTGGTCCACTGCCATCTCGGATCATTATTTACCCTTTCTAGGCTACTAACTTAAGTCAAAATTTGGAAAAGCTACTAGCATTTTGATCGCTTGCAAAATCTGTTGGTCTTGCAATATTAAATGAGTCACGTATTTAAAATTGTGGACTTGGCATGCACTGCATTTCAATTTTATTTTGGCAAATCAACATTAGTTAAGTTGTGCTCATATTGTCTATATAATTGCCAAGGTATTGAACAAGGATGCCGTGGATATATGGAATGAAAAAATTTCCCCATGTTTCAGCTGGAATTTTATCTATGATCTCCTCCTCTGTTTTTTATTTTTTCATTTTTTATTGTCACTTTCGTATTAAAGATAGATACGCAAACCTCATGTGTCACGGTGACCATCCCTCATGCACGTTCAATTTGCAGGACCGCAAGTGAATTCCCTTCTTTGCTGAAGAAATAATTTGGGTTAGCTACTTTGAAGTAACTGAAGCTAGTGGTCGATCGGTATCCCAAGCCAAAGAGAACAGCTTGGACGTCTTTAAATCTTTCAGATTGAGTTTTCAACTTTCAAGCCAACAGCAACTTTATGCATGAGAAGGTTTACAATTCCTCTACAACCAACAAGGAATTAAATGATTTAGTTAAGGTGGAATCCAAGCACACAGTTCAGTGGGCGGTCCAAAGGAATTGGCATTAAGATTGGATGACTTTAACTCTTGAAATCGAGTTATTTTGTCATTAACACCTTTTATAAGGATTACAATTTTGTTTTTGAAAAGCAAAATATGTTTATTTCTTTCATAGATTAAGGATTAAGTTAATTCCTCTATCACCAAAAAGAATTAAATGTGCGTGTATATATATAATTACAGTCAATGGTCGGTATGTTTTTATAATCTTGAGATCGAATTCTTATGTCGTTAACGCCTTTGTAAATGCGAAGGATTACAACACCTTCGACATCAAGAGGATACTATAAAAAGCTATAGACATATCACAAGTGTGTCCACAAATTAACATATTCCCTTAATTAAAGAAATAAAGACCAACCAACTTTCAACAACGAAAAGTATATGAATTTCAGAAACATAATTATTTTATCTTCTATGCTTTTTTT